ACTTAAAACATTTACTGATGAAGATCAAAGAGCACAGCCTTCAGTGTTGATTACATCTCAATGTAAAGAAAACAAAAATCCTCACCACTGAACCAGTAAACGACATTCTTATCAATGGAGAGAAGATCAAAGTTGTCAAGGACTTCATTCTTCTTGTATCAACTATCAACATTTAAGGAAGCAGCAGTCAGGAAATCAAACAACATATTGCAGTAGGCAAAGCTGCTGCACAAGACCTTTTGAAAGTGTTGAAGAGCAAAGATGTCAGCTTGTGGGCTAAGGTGTGCCTGACCCAAGCCATGATATTTTCAATAACCTCAGACGTATGCGAAAGCTGGACAGTGAATAAGGAAGACTGTAGAAGAATTGATGCTCTTGAATTATGGTGTTGGAGGAGAATATTGAAAGTGCCATGGGCTGCCAAAAGAACCAAAAGATCTGTTTTGGAAGAAGCACAGCCAGAGTGCTCCTTGGAGACCAAGATGGCCAAACTTCGTCTCTCAGACTTCGGACATATTGTCAAGAGGGACCAGTTGCTGGAGAAGAATATCATGTTTAGTAAGGTGGAGGGTCAGAGAAAAAGAAGAAGACCCCCAACGAGATGAATTAGCCAAGTGGCAGCATTGATAGACTCAAGTATGGCAACCAGGATCTGGCAGTGTTTCGTTCTGCTGTGCGTAAGGTCGCTATGAGTCGGTACCAACTTGATGGCACCTAACAACAACAACAACATAGCAGTTGAAATCTACAATCCAGTAGAAGTTACTGGTCATAACCTTGTGAGGGATGTTTTCCTTGTACTTTTCTTGGATTACAAAGCTCTCACCTTTTCAAAGTTCAATATAGTTATATACATGAGTACTTAGTAGTCTTGGGAGTCACATGAAGACACCACTTTTTTCTGTTCCAATCGTACCACTTGTAAATACAATCTGAACAGATAAAAGGGTAGGATGGAGAGAAAAATCACTTCATCTTTATTCTCTTAGTGACCAACACTCATCCTTTCCTTTCCCATTAAGCACTGCTCAGAATCTCTTACTCATTTGGAATGAGGGAAATGAATTCTTCTTTGTTAGAAGTAGGGGCTAAGTGCTTCACATTTTCCCCAAAAGTGACTCAGGCTACTTCCAAGAAAGCCGTATAAAATCCTTTACTAGAAATTCCTTGAAGTGTTACTCTTGTAAGTTTGCTCTTTTTCTCTCAAGTCATTGCTATGAATTAATACAGGGCATAAGGAGAGAAGAATTACAAACCCTAGTGCAGCATTAAACAGGATGGGATGTAAATTTGGCTGAGGACAGAACAAATATGCACCTCAATCTGCCTAGTTTTAAGTAACAGAGAAAATGACACAGCCCATTTGCAGGCACAGCTACACTTGCTATGTCTGGATTACAGCAGTTATGGTCATTGTATCTGGATTGAGATCTAAACACTGCTGCTTGTCAGTGACAACATTCCTACATTACCCTAAATTTCAATTTCCTTGTATGTAATATAGAAAAGATAATATCTATGCATCATAGGATTATTTTAAGAAGTAAATGAATTCATAATTTGCATAACAAACACTATGCACATTATTATTCTACCACTAGACTATTGTTAAGTGCCATCAAGTCAGTTCTGACTCATAGCGACGCTGTATAGGGTTTCCATGGAGAAGCTGGTAGGTTTGAACTGCCAATCTTGTGGTTCGCAGGCCAGTGCTGATCCACAGCAGTGCAGCAGAAGTGTATCAGCAGACTAGTGCTCCAAATAATTCATAGTCATTTAGTAAAATTTATCTTTATTCTACACTTCCAATTAAATCTGTACTTCATTTAAATATTATTTAACAATATACAATTAATCTTTATGAAAGAAAACATAAGGAAATATTTATTACACATTTATACCAGTGAAGAACTAGGGATATATTTTTTCTAATATTGGAACAAGAATCCAATAATCAAATGACCAACATATAACAGACTACTCAAGGACATGGCATGGCAAAATTAAATAAAATGCTTCAATCCACAGTGTAGAATTGCATATAATCTGGTTGTCTCCATTGTTTGTTATACTTACCATATAGGCTTGGTCAAGAGCTTGTTTTCTGTAGTCTAGTTCTTCCTCTAGGTAGCCTTTTATTTTGCAGAATTGTTCCTATCATAAAAGTTCATATTGATAAATATAGAGTCAACTTAGTTAAGCGGAATGTGATTTTACACAAATATATTTTACATACATACACATATATTTTACATACATATATTTTCATATACAAGGGGGGTGTTTAAAAAGTTCATGGAAAAATGTAATTGAAAGATAATGGAAGTTTTCCATGAACTTTTTGAAATCCCTCATACTTGTATGTGTGTGTGTGTGTGTTTGTGTATAGGAGAGAGAGAGTGATTAATATTTTCTCTAACACCCTGCAAGACAAATCACAAATATTTGTAGGGCCACAGATTTTGTTGGCTAGACAAACAGTTCAACTTTCATAAGCTCACACAGGGAATATGAAAATCAATGGAAAGAAGCATCAAAGACATTGAAAATTCCACCTGGAATGCACTAAAAGGTGTTTATGCCAATATGAAAGCATATGACTAAAGATAGATTCTAACAAGATAAGTGTTAACTATACCTGTATGAATCGATTGTGATATTACGTTTGTGTCATATGTTACGAAATGAAACACATTAAGGTTATATAAGAAACAAATTTAACTTACTCAAATTTCATCAACTGTAGAAAATTAACAAGCATACACAGATAAGAATTCTGACAGTTGTGGTGATTCCACACACAATGCAATTTAATGGAGAGCATCTGCCCTTGCCACATAACTAGCGTGAGACAGGGGATTTAAGTCATGTGTTCCATCACTTGTCCTCAACAACTAACTGTCCCTTATACTGGGAACACCTTGTCATGAGTAGTGTGACTCTAGCATTTTACAATAGCATCGCATGTGTCTGTGGCTTCAAATGCAAGCTAGTCATGTTTTGGAGTCCTTAACTGAAGAAACAAGGCGCTCATCCAACACTGGAGGGAAACCTGCTTGTGTTGGTTTTTGAGAGACTGTGTCTGCATGCCATAATTTTGTTGGTAATTCATGCACTTAAAGAGTTTTCAAGGGTGATTTTTGAATGCAAACATTTCTTCTTAAATGACTTGATATTAGAGGCTGACCCTTGGTAAAATGTGAACCCAGTGTAAATTACAAGGACATGACTTAAAAGTGTAAATACACATTGTTTTCACTATAGGGTCTGCTAGAAGATTGAACACATCTGTTTTGGACATGTAAGCTATCACATAATTCACAATAAAACATTTTTAAAAATCGGTTTTGGAATTAGTACAGCCAGAATACCCCTTAGAAGTGAGGACAGTTAAGAATTTGTCTTCTGTATTTTGTATACCAGGAGGGACCAGTCCCTGATATACATGGTTTACTAAGCATGACCAGTCTCATCATGCTTAGTAAACCAGTGGCTCAGAGAAAAAAAGGAGCAGTCTCAAGTGAGATGGGGTTGTACAGTGGCTGCAACAATAAGCTCAAACAGCGATGATGGAGAAAATGGTGCAAGACCGGGCAGTATTCCATTCTGTTGTGCATACGGTTGCTAAGAATTGGATCCTACCAACTGTGTGATGCCACCTAACAACAATAACAACAAACCTGATAGGGATTCATTAAATGCACTAAAGTAATAATGATGTTATTAAAAGGGCGTATTCTTATCAAATTCTGTGCACAGCTCTAAGTTAATAATAGCCAGTACCTAGACTTGAGGACTTTAAGATCAGAAGTGCACCCAAAATTGCTGTATTTGTTATTTGAGAATTACGTACAGCAGAAAAATCTTAGCCTAAGGAGGGAAAAATACAAAAAAACACCTAATTCAATTTTCTTTAACATTATATTTAGAAATATTGCAAGAATGGGAAGAATATGACTTGAAATTATGAGATACTTATCAAAAGTCTTTCTCTATGGTCCATAACAGAAGACTACAAACTTTCGTCAGTGCTATATAAAACTAGTAGAGGTGAATGTCATCTTCCACTTGCCTTGTAAATTTCCCTTCATTTCTCTGATGTCACATCTTTGTACTCACCATGTCACTTTCCAACTCCATCATTTTCTGGTGCAGGGCAGCCTCTGCTCCTTCAATCTGCTGGATCCACTGAAGGATAAACAAGATAAAAATGTTTCATGACTGCTTGATGTGGGACATACATGTATCTTGTCTTATGTGCTGTCAACCAATGTATTCAGTCTCTCAACTTACACCTCAGGAAGACTAGGCTGAAGGGAAACTTACTATATTTTTATTACTTAGTAGGAAGCTAGATTATAACCTTCTACTTGTTCATTCATTCACTCACTCAACAAATGCATTCACTGGAGTCTATCATGTGTTGAACACTGTGTTCAGTCATAGGGCTGCAATGGTAGATAAGAGTACTAACTTTTTTGCCCTCATTGGATGGCATCCTCGGAAGTTTCTTGGACTTGCTCTGGGCTCTGAAGAATGAGTTGGAGAGGATTCGGCAAAAATGAGGGGGAAGGAGTATTGTAAACAGAAGGGACACCATGTCCAATTGTTTCACAGTTGGAAGGACATATTGAAAGCAAGAAGATCAGGTGAAATGAGAGAACTTTTCAGTATATGAAAGTGATTCCAGCTGAGTGGTGAAGAATCAATTCTGTTAAATGGGGAAATGTAAAATCACATTTAAAAAAAGAAAATTTCCTACAGCTCAAAATGAATCCTTCTATTATATGGGCATCAATGAATGCATAAATGAGTTTATACTTTAAATAATATGGTTTGACCCTATCACATATATAACCTAATAGAAAAGTTACTATACAGGGCCTCTACCAAGTTAAACATCATCTTATCCCTTAAGAAAGCATGTATCATAATCCTTAAGCAATCGGTTTTGGAGCCAGACTATCTCGGCTTTAATCCCAATTCTAGTTTTGCATGACTATGCAACATTTAAATGTTCACTGACTTCATATGTCTAAACTTTCTCATTTGGAAAATGGGGCCAATTATACTATGAAGTTAAAGGAAGTAATTCGTGTTACATACTTTACACAGTACAACTATTACATGTACTAGTTATCTTAGAAGCACCCGTTTTTTATTAACATTTCTTTTTCTTGTACTTCTATATTCTTAGAAATGTGCATCACTACCACATATTTCATTTTGTGATAAATCATGTACTGCACTGAGCATGACTATATATGAGAGCCTTGGTATTAATGAAGGAGGACCAAGTTAAATGACCACTTAGTTGGAGGGTTCTGTGAAAGAACAAGGTGGAAGAAAAACGGTACGATGAGACAAGCAAGGTGGTTAATAACTCAGTTCTTTCTATGGCTTCCCCTTGAAACATAATTCAGCCAAAATGTCATGAATTTCTAGCCTCTGACCAGAGCTACAATAGATGGATCCTGGTTAAATGGGAGAAAACTGTGGACCAGAACCTCCAGTTTATAAACAAATCTAGACTTCCTGGAGCAGTTAAGGCTGGAGGACTTCCAGAGACTATTGTTTTGTGATATCCCTTAAGCCTTGAACCCAAACTGGCTCACAAAATAAAGGTTGTCGTCCATGAGTGTGGTGCTCCTTTTAAAAAATCATCTATTTGACAACAAACAGTCAACAATTACTTCAAAACAAAGATGAGGCAGTAAGGAGACAGGGAAATGGAACAACCACAACAAAATAATGAGAATGTTCACGCATTGTGAAGAATGTAACCAATGTCACTGAAAAATTTGTGTCAAAATTACTGAATGGGAAATGAACTGGCTGTGTAAGCCTTCACTGAAAACAGTTACCATTTGAGGAAAAAAACTGACACACAGTCACACATACACACAGTCATGGGCTTCTTGGAACTAACTTCAGGTTATAACTGCATAATAAGAACTTTTTCTAAAAATTCTTCCTCTCTTTTTCTGGTCATTTGTCATTGAGCAACAAATTATTTTTTTTAAGACATGCGAATTAAAGTAGTTATGGTTTAGGATTTAGATCTAGCCTAGTGTATTAATTCCTGTTCCATACTATTTGTGTGACCCAAGCTGCGATGTCTCATCTGTAAAATGAAAATGCTATTAACTGCTGTTGAGTCAACTCTGACTCTTGGTGACCCCATGTGTACAGAGAAGAACTATGCTCCAGAAGGTTTTCAAGGTGTTGATCTTTCAGAAGCAAGTCTGTCTTCCAAGGCGGGTTAGAACTGCCAGCCTGTCAGCTACATACTTTAGTGCTTAGGTGTTTGCTTTACTTGCTGTTCTTAGATGCCATTGGGTTGGTTCCGACTCATAGGGATCCTGTATAGAGTTTCTGAGGAGTGGTTCGTGGGTTTGAACTGCTGACCTTGTGATTAGCAGTTTAGTGCTTATTCTATATTACCACAGCAGGACTCCACTTAGGGATTCCAAAAATAAAAATAATGGTACTTATAACAAGTCACTTTGAGGACTAGGGTATGTCTAACTCAAGCTTATTTTCAATTGCCTTATTCACTGGACAATGAATAGGAAGACTGTCAAAAAAATTGATACATTTGAATTATGGTGTTGGTGAAGACTGTTGACAGTACCAAGAACTGCCAGAAGGAACAAAGGGATCTATTTTGCATGAAGTGCAATCAGAATGCTCCATGGAAGTGAGGATGGTGAGACTTCATCTAACATATTTTGAACGTGTTATCAGAGGGACCAGGCCCTGGAAAATGACATCATAATTGGCAAAGTAGAGGGCTAAAGAAAAAGAGGAAAACCCTCAGTGGGATGGACTGACACAATGACTGCAACAATAGGCTCAAATGTAACAACAATTATGAGGATGGTTCAGGACTGGGGAATATTTCATAGTGCTGTGCTTAAGTCTCTATGAGTTAGAACTGACTCGACCTAAGGCATCTAACAATAACATAACAACAGAGGATGGTTGTAAGGAATAAGTTAAGTATGTGGGCCATAATGTGCACTCGATTATGGTCAACATCATTATTATTAATACATAGAAATTTGTGGCATTTTGTCTAGGCTGTCTCAGGCTAAACAACGTAGTCCTTTGTACCAGCCTGGGACAGTGCTATTTTATTCAAAGTCTCAGAAAATTCACAGGTCAGCACTTTGAATTGCTTGGATGTAGAAATATTTTTTCTGCGAATCCTAAAGGTAGGTGTTGTCTTGTATCGTGAATCCCAATGATTTTCATCAGGGGAAATTGCATAGAATAAGAGTACTTTAAAGGTAGGCTTGTATCTTATTCATTTGGTCTCTTGCTTTGTAGCACACAGTCATCACCTGGTGCTTATTCAACTGAACCCCTGCACCTGTCTTGCAAAGGGGGTAAGTGGAGGTACAAGATTATTTCCCATAACTCTAATAGATCTTCTATGGGCTCTGCATATGCTACTTCCTGTTTTGTTTTGTTTTTTAAAATATTTTATTGTGAATTATGTGACAGTTTACATGGGAGAACATTAGCTTTACATTCATCCTATCATACATCATTTCATTGCCATGGCTACAATCCCCTCCATGCATCATCAACCAAACAAAGGGTATACCATGCAAGCCTGCCCCCTGCCTCCCTTCCCACCCCCCCTCCGGTCATCAGCACACAAATCCTCTCCCTCTCTGGGTCTAGAATCCCCAACCGTTCCATCTCTCTACATCATTGTCTCTGTCTCCATCTCTGGCATCACTGTTTCTCTGGGTAGGCTCCCACTCTCCACTCTTCTCCCTTGATGGTCCCAGAGACCTCCGCTCCTAGACTGCAGTCAGTCACGCCCCTCCTTTTGCTACAAAACATCTAGCTTTACATTTACAACCCTCACAGTTAGTCCTGATAACAATTATTCACTGCTGTACCACAAGAGACCTATCCCCATCTCCTCTCATCAGCCCCACCCAGACAGGCTGGATACTACTCAGTAGAGATTCTACCTTCCTCAGCACCCTCTGGAATCTAGGCTCCCTCTTGAAAGCTTGTAAGCCTGTCACTTCGCTACTTCCTGCTTTTAATAGAGTCTTTAGAAGACAATTGGTAAAGTGGTTAAGATCAAGGGATCTAGAATCATGCAGTGTGGATGTGAATTCTAACACTATTAGTTTCTAGTTGTGTGACCTTGAGAAGTTGCCTACCTTCTCTGTGCTTTAGTTTCCTCAAGGGAAACTGGGAATAATAATAGAACCTAGACTTTGGCAGTGAGAACAGTGCTTGGCTCAAAATAAACACTATGCAAATGTTAGTTATAATTCAGTATAGGTCGTACCACTCCACACAAGACCGGGAATAGAAAGTTTTCTTCCAACAATTATGTAAATGAGAGGCACACAGCCCTATTTTTTTTCTTTCTCCCATCCTCAATCTCTGCTTTTTATAGACTCTTAACACTTTGAGGGTTGCATTGAAACAAAAGCCAACTTTTCTTTTTCTAAAGAACCATATCACTTCTTGATTCCAGTTGGATGAGCCTCTCTGGCTATATTGCTGCCATATAAATGTAGTGGAATTGATGTTTTCTTCATCTTTGTGTCTCCCTTTTGTCACTGTAACAATGTCTGGCAGACATGCACAAATTTTCTCCTTTATTAAATATGTGTCATTTAACAGAAGTGCCTGGGCTAGTGCTTGAGAAACAACAAAAAACACACACATCATATTTGCCCTGATGGGCTTACAGTCTAGCAGTGGGTGGACAGTGGGGATGGGGCGTACAACAACAGTAAATGTGCAATTGTTAGAAGCAATTGCTACAAGCCATGATAATGGAAGTACTGGTGACTTTGGGAACACAGAGAATGATGGGAGGATAAAAAGCCTTCCCATATATGGGGAAATCGAACGACTGAGTAAGAGACGAGAAAGCCTTTTAGGGAGAGAACAGTATAAAGGCCCAAGTGAGAAACAAAAGATGTGTGCATGTGTGTCTGTGTGTATGAGAGAGATAGAGAGAGAGCCTAAGAAAATCTGTGTAAGGCTCCAGTCTACCTAGTGACCAAGCAAGAGGTGAGAGCAGATCCCTGAGGGCACTTTTGTCAAGTTCAGGATTCAAGATCATAGTTAGGGATAATGTGACACTACTAATTTATGGAGCAGAGGAGCAAAAATTGATCAAGTCTGTAATCAGGACCGGCCTACTTACATCCTGAAGGATGCAAGTTTAAATTAAAAATTTTTTTTTTATTAAAGAGGAAATTGCAAAGTTGATGGCATTTCACAGGTAAATACTTGGCTTCCTGGTGTGGTGCTGCAGGTTAAGCACTGGGTCACAAGGTCAGTTTGAACAGAAAGGTCAGTTGTTCAAACCCGCCAACCACTCCTCCGAAACCCTATGTTGCTTTTAAGTGCCGTCAAGTCTGTTCTGACCCATAGCTACACTGTATAGGGTTTCTGAGGAATGGCTGGTGAGCTTGAACCACTGACTTTGCAGTCCAGTGCATTAACCCACAGTGCCACACCAAGACTCCCGGAACCCCTATACAGGGTCCTTGTGAGTTGGAACCGAGTCAAAACAACAGCTAATTGTATTGCTTGGTAGACTCAGGGCTCCAAAAAAAAAGGTTCATTTCAATATTTCTCAAGTATATTTTTATTTTGTAACAGTCCTTTACCCATTTATTCCTTCTTTCTTTACATCACTGTGGGTTATCTTTTAGAGCAATTAACAGGGTCATTTGACCTAGAAAATTCTCTCATTCCAAATTAGAGAATTTTCTTGCCTATGGTTTAATTTACAACAGACCTTTTGTGCCTTTGGGAATTAATTAAGCACCTCAAAAACTTACAGGGTTTGAATTTCATCTAACTCTGCACATGCACTTGATTTTCATAGCACGGTGAGTCATATGTTGGAATCTACCAGATGCTCTGTGGGAGAAAGATGAGTCTTTCTGCTCCCGTGAAGATTTACAGCCCTGGAAACTCTATACAGGGTGCTTATGAGTCAGAACGGAATCCATCGCATGTAACCACCACCACCGATTCACAATATATTTTGCTACAACTAGTTACCAGGCTTTTCCACTTGGCTCTGCCCTCTTCTTTTTTTTGCCGTTTACCAGATTTAGACACAAGTGGGTGCTCAGTGTTGCTTTTCTCCTGACATTTCCTACATAGAGCTTTGAGGAAGACTGCAATGAAGCAGCCGAGAATGCACGGTACTTACACACCAAGGAAAAGTCTATAAAAAGAGCAATGCTCAAGTTTACCACCTCTCAATGAAATTCATTTTATGGCTGGCTTCCTATCTATGTAGAGATGATTTGAATAATGTAATACAGAAGGTTTTCCCTTTTAAAAGAATTTTATCCATATTATTAAGGGACTTCAAAGCAAAAATTTACTTATCACCCTGAATCAGGGTATAAACCTTTGTTGGTTTGTGCTCACTCTATTGGGGTTGGATAACCTTTAAAAAGAACACATTTATTAAAGTATATAATTATGCAAATTCAAATGCAAAGAAGTGTATGGTATCTCCTATCCTGCTCTGCATATGCTAAACAAGACAGACACTGAGAAGATATGAAGTTTATTACCTTTTCTGCCAAAGACAGCACAGTGCTGGCCTGAATTATGGCTACTTGTTCTTCATTTCGTAAATTCTGTGAAAAGATAGGGAAAAAAAGAGTAAAGAAAGGAGAGAAAATATGCTAAAGACATTCATAGTATTATTTACATTATAAGTCTGTTGCATTGTGGTGGCTTCAGTGTTACTGTGTGCTGGAGACTATGCCACCAGTATTTAAAATACCAGCAGGGTCACCCAAGGTGGACAGGTTTCAAGGAAGCTTTCAGACTTATAAAACAGATTAGGAAGAAGAAGAGGCTTTTTACTTCTGAACACCTCATGAATAGCTGCGCAACACTGTCAGATATAGTGCTTCCTGGGTTGGAAGGCACTCAAAATAAAACTGTGGGAGAGCTCTCGCCTCAAAGTAGAGTCAGCCATATTGTCGTGAATGGAGCAAAACTTTCAGGACCATCATTTGCTGATGGGGCACAATGGAAAATGAAGAGAAACAGCTGCAAATATCCGTTAATAATCAGAACATGGAATGTACAAAGTATCAATCTATTAAAATTGGAAGCTGTCAAAAATGAAATGGCATACATAAAGATCGATCTCCTAAGCACTTGTGAACTGAAGTAAACTAGGATTGGACATTTTGAATTCAACACTCAAATGGTTTACTATGTTGGTAATGTCAAATTGAGTAGGAATGGTGTCAGATTCATCATCAAAAAGAGCTTTCGAGATCTACCATGAAGTACAATGCTATCCGTGACAGGATAATATCCACACAAGGACTCCTCGTGTGGCACTGTAGGATCAGCACTGGACTGTGAACTACAAGGTCAGCAGTTCAAACCCACCAGCTGCTCCTTGGAAACCCTATACAGGGTCAACCCTGAGTGGGAACCGACTTGACAGAACTTAACAACAACATAAGGACTTGACAGCACTTAACAACAGCAACATACGGGAATCCAGCTAATGCAACTATTACTCAGATTTACACACCAACCATCAAAGACAATGATGATGAAATTTCATGAATTTCTTCAATCAGAAATTGATCAAATATACAGTCAAGATGCACTGATAATAATTGGTGATTGGAATGTAAAAGTTGGAAACAGAAAGAAAGGATCAGCAGTTGGATAATACGACCATGATGACAGAAATCATGCTGAAGATTGCATGATAGAATTTTGCAAGACCATGACTTCTTCATTGCAAATTCCTTTTTGAAACAATGTAAAAGATGACTGTACACATGGACCTCACCAGATGGAGTACATAGGAATCGATATACTTATGGGAAGAGACTGTGGAGAAGCAAAATATCATCAGTCAAAACAAGGTCATGGGCCAACTGTGGTGCAGACCAATAATTGCTCATATGAAAGTTTAAGCTGGAGGTGAAGAGAAACAAGTCCACAAGAGCCAAGTTATGATCTTGGATATACCCTATCTGAATCTAGGGACCGTCTCAAGAACAAATTTGATACATTACACATTAATGACCAAAGACCAGAAGAATGGTAGGATGACCTCATGAAGATCATCAAGAAGTAAAAGGTCATTAAAAATACAGGAAAGAAAGTAAATATCAAAATGGATGGATGTCAGACAAGACTCTGAAAATCACACAGAGAGAATAGAGAAGCTGAAGTGAATGGAAGAAATGAGAAAGTGAAAAAGTTAAACAGAAAATTTCAAAGGGCAGGTTGAAGAGATGACAAAGTAAAATATTATAATGAAGTGTGCAAGACTTAGAAATTCAAAAGGGAAGTACTTGCTCAGCATTTCTCAAGTTGAAAGAACTGAAGAGAAAATTAAAGCTCCATTTTACAATATTGAATGATTCTATGGGCAGAATGGAGACCTGGTGTGGCGCTGTGGGTTAATGCGCCACAGTGCAAAGCCATTTGAACTGCAAGGTTAGCAGTTCAAGCTCACCAGCATGCACTTATCTATGCTAAGAAATTTGGAAGACAAGTATCTGGCTGATTGATTGGAAGAGATCCGTATTTGTGCCCATTCCAAAGAGGGGAGACCCAAAGGAATGCAGAAATCATTGGACAATATCTTTGATGTTCCATGTGAGTAAAGGTTTACTAAAGGTAATACAGAAACAGCCGCAAGCATACATTGAAAGAAAACTTCAAGAGGTTCAAGCCGGATTCAGAAGAGCACGTGGAATGAGGGATATCACTGGAATGAGGGATTCAGAAGAGCACGTGGAATGAGGGATATCACTGGAATGAGGGATTCAGAAGAGCACGTGGAATGAGGGATATCTGATGGATCTTGGCTGAAAGCAGAGAATATCATAAAGATGAAAGATGTTTACCTGTGCTTTATTGACTATGCAAAGGCTTTCAGTTGTGTGTATCATGACAAACTATGGGCAACATTGTGAAGTATGAGTATTCCTGAACACTTAATTATGCTCATGAGGACTCTGTACATGGACCAAGAGGCAGTTGTTCGAACAGAACATGGGAACACTGAATAGTTTAAAATTCAGAAAGGTATGCGACAGGGTTGTATACTTTCACCATACTTATTCAACCTGTATGCTGAACAAATAATTCGAGAAGCTGGGTTCTATGAAGAAAAACGCGGCATCAGGATTGGAGGAAGACTGATTAACAACCTGCGATATGCAGATGATACAACCTTGCTTGCTGAAAGTGAAGAAGACTTAAAACATTTACTGATGAAGATCAAAGAGCACAGCCTTT